TTCCTATCTTTTCTCGGTTCCAGTTGCGTGGGCGAAGCGTTCTCATGCCGTGCAGGTTGTACGCGCTCATCTAATTCCTCGCGGGTAATTCTAATAATTAGACACAGTTAGTCAAGTTAATTCTGCACCAAAGCCCGCTACACAGTTGTTGGGGAGCCTTTTTCTTTTCCTCGGGGCTCTTACCATGTCCTTCTATCTTGAACGCGTCTGTCGCCTGATTTAAACGGAAAATAATTACACGAGCGGTTAGACTCGAAAGTCTAAGTGCAGTGGGAGCTATTCTACATCTATTTCATAAATATAAGCACCAGAACATGGACACGATAGCTTAAGCAACGTAATATTCGAATAGAACCCCAAACTTTCCTTTCCAGAACTAACTCAGAAGCCCTCTGTGAATATAACACACCACTGTCATTTCCATCCCGGCTCCTCGGATTACAAACAACTTAGGGGTATCGTCACTCCAGGTGGCCTGTTGGTCCATTCAGCTTTTGCTTAGCCCCCCCCCTGGCCGACGTGTTACAGCCCTCAGCTCACGCTCTGCGGGTCCAAATTACCGTGCACCGCTGTGGACCAAGCAGCTGTACATGGTAATTCAGACGCCGTATCGCGCTGTTGCCTCTTAAGTACGTCAAAGCATTTGCTTCATCCCTGTTGAGTGGTTGCTTAGGTCTGTTCGATACTGTCCAGCCCTTCAGGTCATGTCAGTATCATGCGCAGGGTGTCCGAGAACGACCCAGCCCCTCACGGGGCTCACACAGTTCCGAAAATGCTCTAAAACTGTCTATTCTGATGATATGCTATTTAATCGTACAGGCGCGGGCTCGCTCATGCTCTTAAAGTGTTTTTGGTCCCGATCTCTTGTTCTTGAGCTGTCCTTGTACTTGGTCTTGGGCTTCTTGCTCTTGTGAGACCGACTGCTGCATTTCTTCCCGTCCCGCCAGAAGTGCTCTCGCAAAGCGTGTTATGATGTGGGAGCTCACACTTTAAGAGCACCTCTGTATTGCGGGACCGTAACGACTCTTCCGCATGTGGCTGCAACTTCCGTTTGGCCAATTGGCAGCACGCGCCACTTGCTTTTGGAGCGTGGACACTCGCGGTGGGTCTAGGACCCCTAGGCGCGTGCATGGTGGTAGACGCTCCCAGTCACACCCACCCCAACCTGTTGCTACCGCTACCAGCTGCCATACCACTTTGGAGTCTCGGGGCAAGCCGCAGACTGTATCCTGAGAGGTCTCTCTTGAATATATAGTAGGGCAAGGAGCCCCACGCCCGTACATACATGCATATACATCTAAAACTACCCTGCTACTATTATACAGCCAGCGCACCTTGTCCTCTTCGCGCCGTCGCTCAAAAATCCAATTTTGTGTTTTGAATGAAAAGTGAGTCGAAAATATTGCTCAATCAGGGCGCGAGTTAATTGTGTCCGCTTTTTGGTCATAGTTGGTAGATTTAGAGCATAGTTAAGTCGAGTCAGAAACATAGGCGCGGTCGGTACGATGGGGAAGAAACGGTATTAGAAAGGCCGAGTGTAGCCATGCGAGAAGGCAGGAAAAGCAGCAAGAAAGGAAAACGACGGACTTATTGACAGACGGACAGACACGCGACAAGGTTAGAAGCGGAGAGACTAGCGGGTCTGGGCGTCCGCTCCGCGGACGCTTGGGCATGGTGGGTTGGTGTAGAGAGGGCCGACCACCTCCGCTGCGCTGCAGTGGGCTTAGAATTTCTACTCAAAGCGAAGCAACATATATTATATGTATACTGTGATCTACTTATGCTACGTTCCAAAACAACACCGCACTCAGTATCTATAGTGCTCACATGTTATGGTAGACATGACCAGGGTTTATCGTGATCTGCAAGATGAGCACCATCTTAGCCGAGAGGGCTTTGTCTATAATCTCATTTGAGCGCATAGCTCCCAAAATGACGCCAATCGGAGGCGCGCGTGGTTGCAAAGCTAATATATGCTGTACGGAAGACGGGTCAGTATCAATGATGCTACGAAATATGCGTAGATCGGTGAGGAATCCCAGTGTAGCGGGAGTAAATACGCCTACTCAAACATATTACCCATCTGCACGTCATCGCCGTGAGGCAGTCGACACATATCATCGATTGCGACGGTCTAATAGAGCAATGTTAATCAGCTCCTCGCGCGAAGTATCTTTTAGGATAGGTAGTATTTGCCGATGGTCGCCACAAATATCAATATTATGCTTTGAAATTATTCTGCTGAGCTGTTTGTGATGTAACTGAAGTATATTTTCACTATCTTCCGCATGCATTGATCTTACTTGCATAGCTGACGTACTTTCTGACTTATTTGCATAGCTACTGACTGACAGAGTGGTGTAACTCTTTGCCGAGTGGCATTTACTGGCTCCGATATGTATGACGAACATAGGAAGCCACCTGACTGTAGGCTGACTATCAGATCGTAGTGATGCTTAGACTTGATTTGAATAATAGTTCGTGTACATTAGATGGAGTACTTTCGCTGCCTACTTATCCGCTCGGCGTGCTATTTGATGTGTCCGTGCATATATCGCAAGGTCGTTAATGAGTGTATTTGCCACGCGCTCGTGATAGTTCAACCTATGCATGGGGTCCCTGTTTTCTTATCGGTACTTTTGCATCGTGGTGCTAGCTTTCTGCGCCTACGCTTCTGATGGATCAGTCTATATGCCCAAGCGCGCCACTTACTGGACGTAGGTCATAACCGCGGTGATATAGGCAAGCTGACCGCGCGTATGTAGGTAGTAGTCAACGCGAAATATGCGCGCGGCGGGTACATCTTATAATCATTCGCGACTCAACCGGACTCTCGTCTCGACCATTATACACAGGAAACTAAAATACAGTACTGCGTACAGGCACATCGACTGGCGACGACACCTGTATGGTCAACACTACCATAGACGTGCTTGTGTCTATGTAGACAGCAGCATATTCATCGCGCATAGTGCTCACTCAATACTGAAGCTTACATTCGTGAGCGCACATTAATGAAATATACGCTGTGAGCGTTAGTGGTACAGATAGCATGGTTTTGCGTGTGCCCACGTGAGCGAGTGTACGTGCCATCTACGGTGACGCGTATGCAGATAGGAACCACCAACTTGCAGCGGTGCACAGTTGATTCCATGTCTTATTTTATTTTGAAGCGCGCTACGCTCTATAGGCGCGTCAACACGCTTGGTAGCGCCACAGTCAGCTTACAGTATGTGCGACCCCAAGCCTTGCACCGTCAGCCAGTATACAAACCTATGCGGGGTAATGGGCTAAAAGGGTATACTTACCAATTACTTGCTCTTCTGCTGCTTTTTCTAATCAATGTACCTGACGTTTCGGGCGGTCAGCTTGCGAGGGCGGCTGCGCCTCTTTTTCTTCTTGGGGTACCAGTCAGGACCCATCGGCTTCTTGACGTTTGACAGGCTTTCCTAGCGGCACACTTCGGCCGAATCAGGTGGTGGGGCCCTTTCCCTCCCATAACGGCACACTTCGGCCGAATCAGGTGGTGGAGCCTTTTCCTCCCAGAACTCATCTGCTTTTGGGGCCGATCTCGCAGGCTACACAGCGCCACACGATGTCCCGCCCGCTGATTGTACGGAGTGCGTAACCGTACTGCAGCTTCCCGCAACCGACGCAGCGCGCCCGGGCATCCGTCGTAGACCACTGCGGGTCCAGCAGAAGCGGGTCAATCTTCGCCTCGCATTGCTTGCACACAGGGCCCACCATTTTGCAAACTGTGAGTAAGTTAGCAATACTTATTGTTTTAACCAATTACTTGCGTCCAAACATTAGCCAATAGCACGGTACTGGAAGACTGGTATTTATCATTAGGCAAATATTAAAATGTTTTAAAATAGTATTATTTGGCTTTGCTATAATATATTATTATCAGATTTTTAAACAAATACATACTTTACATGCAATATAAATTGACATCTATCGTGCGCACATGCATTCGTCGGGTGCAGTGCACGGGAGCAGATAGCGCAATGACCGTGCAGCCGCGCGCCTTCATTGCACGGTGGCAGTGGTGAGTGTCAGTGAAGTAAAGAAAATATATATTCGCAAAGTCCCTACAAAAAGCGCTGGTCGTGAAGCCTACTTTAGTGTTAAAAAAATACTATCGTCTCTACTTTAGAAAGTCTGTGGAAAATAGCATCGCCGAGCTCTTACAATTGCGGCTTGTGAAGCTTATATTAGTAATATCGTCTTTACTATGAAAAGTGTGTGGAAAATAACATCCCAGAGCTCTTACAAAATACTGGTCTGTGAAGTCTACATTAATAATGATAAAAATCTCTATTTGAAAAGTGTGCAGAGCTCTTAGAAAATAAAGTGGTTACTGTGCCCGATTTGCAGTACATACGACAGGTTTTGCGCAATAATCAAGTATCTCCTGGCTGTTTGCATCCAATCGATGTGTTTCGTGCTCGGCAAAACTGTTTAGCTTACGTCCAATCGCGAGGGCGATAGACGGTCTGATCGTGCGACAGATCCAGTCAGTGTCGCAGGTCGGCAGGTATTGCCCAATCAGGGCGCGAGTTAATTGCGTCACGCTTTTGGATATATTTGTAATTTTGGCATAGTTAGGTCGAGTCAGAAAGGTAGGCGCGGTCGGTAGGATAGGAGGAAACTGTATTAGACAGGCCAAGTGTAGCCATGCGAAAAGGCAGGTCAAAGCAGGAAGACAGGGAGTGCGACGGACGGATTGACAGACGGACGGGAGACAGACAGACCGCAGGTTACAGTACAAGGTTAGATTTTCTTACTCACTTCGATTTTCCCCTCCTGGTACCGAGCAACCCATCATATCTATGCGCGTGCTGTGTTTGGCGCTGATGGCGACGGCCACTGTTCTAGTACCGAGTCCTGCGTCCGGTTTGACCACGACTGTGGCTGACACGGCCCAGACGGCAACCAGCATTCTAACTCCTGTTCTAGCTGGGGAGCCGAACAAACACGTTGCAACGCGATCTTTGAGAACGCATCCGATAGACGACAGCGACGATGGCGAAGAGCGACTGCTTAATGGTATGACAGATTTTTTCAAGTACCACGCTGGAAAGATGAGTCCCGAGCAGCTTTACAAGTACTTAAACTTAAAAGGACTTGGTCAAGAAGCCTACAAACACAAGAACTACGCTAGTTACATTAAGAAGTCGAAGAAGTGGTGGAAGAACCAGTAAGACCGTAGTTTCAAGAGTTTTGAAGGATGGTTTATCAATTGAGCTGAAGCTATTGAAGACGCTAAGAAAAAATGCTAACGCTGGCTTAGTTCGGTTCGTTTTGTCACTGGACTTCAGTGCATTCCTCGTGTGCTTGGGGTTTTGCTTTTGTTTGTGGGGATGTAGATTTCTTGAGTGTTAAAAAAATTACAATTTTTAGTACAAGTACTACAGTAGTAAGCTGCACGAATATCCCTCCTGGGAGAGGATACTAATTGAAAGCGGGTCATAAAAAAATTAACTCAGCGTCAGAGTTCTTGACAATATATCGTCACATACCCCCCCCTCTCCATATCGGTAAGAAAAACGAGGTATTTCTCGATAGTAGTATAATTTACGTGATTTTAATTCGCAACCTACACGCTAAATCATACTAACGCCATGCTCCACACGTAGAATCGCTGAACGACATCACAAAAAGCAATGTGTTTTCACCCTCTCCGCGCATTGAGGAAATCAGAATTGAATTTTGGACGAGATTAAATAAAAATGCGCACTTAAATGAATCCTCTGCTAGTAAGAATTTAAATCCCAATAACATATACATGTGCTGCCTTTAAGGTCACGTCCGTCCGCGAAGCACACTCTCCACGAGCTCCTGTTTAAATTTGCTCCAATGTGTATCTCGGACTAACTGCTCTAACAGATTCGAGTTTCTTCTCCCTCCAGGTGGACCTCGTAAACGTGATACCAGCGACAAGTCTGTCTTGTACTTATGTTTGTTCATCAAGGCAATGTCCTGTAAATTACGATGTAGTTGCGAACGGCTATCAGCAGAGAATCCCTGCATGATATCTGCAGCCGACAAGAACAGAAGCTCTACTGTAGAGACCGATATCAACGCTGCCTTGGCGCAAGATATTCCATGAATCTGCTGTTTTTCTTGTCGAGGCTGGCGCGGTGGAACCCAGGATGATGACGCACAAAAACATTCTCCACGTCGCAGTGCCAGCGCAACCGGTTGCGTTGGCGTTGTCCCCCTTCCAACCCCCATACAGTTGATAGCGATACTTGTTCGCCTGGTATTGGTTGATTTTGGTCGTGTAGTGGCAGCTCGCAGAAGCTCCCGCTGCTTGGACTTCACGTAATTTTGTGGAAGAAATCCATGATGCGCCTCATTAATACGTAAAAAGCTCAGAGGATCCCCTGCAGTCTCAAGTTGTGTGTAAAATAGTCGAGCACTTTGAGATTCAGATAGACGTCCACTAAGTGCGAATGATATGGACATATCAGGTGGTGTTCGTAATCCACAAGGCGAAAATTTGCAG